GTAAATTTTACACAGAACGTCGACGATACTTCACTCCGTCGTTTATGCCAAGCTGATCGATATGGCGAAACAACGTGCAACAGAAACGATAGAAAAGTGACTTTTCTAGCAAAAAAGATTATACATAGGATGTCTCAAAACAATCTTCGAAGCTCTCGTGGAAGCATAATATGAATTGAGGTGAACATGAAAGTCTTGTATCGTTTTGTGACCGTCTTATTCGCAATAATTATCGAAATATTAATTAAAGAAGATTTGTGAATGATCACGCAAGATGAGCTGTAGTGACTACGTGTGTGCTTGTATATTAGGTCAAACTGAACAAAAAAGTCCTCTATCATTTTTCTAATAATTTCGTAGATTTTTAATTATTAATTAAAGAAGATTGGTTGGTTGCTCACGTGATAATATATTAATGTCCTTTAATTAATAACTAAAAATCTACGTTCTAAAAATCAAAGTTATTAGGAAAAAGCTAGAAAGTTTTTTGTTCAGTTTGATTTAATATACAAGCCTATGACGGCAGATGTTGCCACTATAGCTCATATCTCGTGTGATCATTTACAAATTTTCTTTAACTAATATCTCGATAAAATTATTACGAATATCGCGAAATAGTATAGGACTTTTACGTTTACTTTAATCCATACTATGTTCTCCCGAGAGCTTCGAGAAGACATCTTATATATTTAGATAAACAAGCGCACATAAATTTAGCAGTAATTTTACTAATCGATTTGTAGAGGTTGCATGCCTGACTGAGTGACTCATAGGACACTCATATTTGCCACATCAAATAATGAAATAGGAAAACAAAAGAAATATAAAGAAAATTATCAAAACTTACTCAAAACAATACGTCATGCAGAATGTAACATGAAAATCTGAATGTAACTTTGAATAAATTTGTAGCTGCATCAATATAATAAAACATTTACAATATACGATAGAAATATTTGATAATTAATTCAATACAGTAAATTCTTCTCAAAAAACGCAATTTAAAAAATTGTAAAATTTCTACTAAAGATTGGTTCATGTCGTGATAATCGTGCACGGAAAAAAAGTTTGGTTGAATTAACCAAATATTTGGTCGAATATGAACGATCCAGAAATACCGATTAAAGTAACCCGAATTCTGCTTAAGTCAATAAAAAATCTTGTTAACTTAAACAGAATTCAGGTTACTTCAATCGGAATTTCTGGATCGTTCATATTCAACCAGATATTTGGTTAATTCAACCAATCCTTTTTTCTGTGTGAAAGTGTCTATTTAGGTATAATTAAATAAAATTATACATGGATTATATATAAATTTTGTCTTTATACAGGGAAAATAGTAAGAAAAAATTATAATAAGAACTACGTTAAAGTTATATTTCTTTTTACAACGCTTTTGTAAAGCTAGGTTATATTAATGCAATATAAATTACTATAGAAATAGTAAATTTTACGATCTACCTGATTGTGTCATTTAAATATTTACAATAATATTATAATAAAGGAAGTCAAATGTGCATAACATTTTTTTGCACAAATTTACTAAAATTTTGTTGTGACTTTTATTGTAATATTTTCTCTATGTATATGGTCAAATATAGTGTCTCAAATCTCCATAATGACGCTTTGTGAGAACGTAGAACGGATTGAGGTGAGCAAGAAAGTACTGTACCGTTTTGCGATATTCGCAACAATATAGTCGAGATATTAATTAAAAAAGATTGATGAATGATTACATGCGATATGGTAGATGAGCTGCAGTGACGCCGTTTGCCGTTATATACTTATACATTCAGTCAAACTAAACAAAAAAGTCCTCTACCATTTTGTAAATGACCACATAGATTTTTAAATATTAAAAAAAATTGTTACACATATGATTGTATACTATAATGCACAAATTTTCTTTAATTAATATCTAAAAACCTATGTGGTCATTCACAAAATGAAGGATTTTTTTGTTCAGTTTGACTTAATGTATAAGTATACAACGGCAGACGGCGCCACTGCAGCTCATCTACCATATCGCGCGTGATTATTCACCAATCTTTTTTAATTAATATCTCGACTATTATTGCGAAATGGCACAGGACTTTCTTGCTCACCTCAATCCGTCCTATGTTTTCACAAAGAGTCATTATGGAAGTCTAAGACACCCTGTATATAACCATACATAATTATATATGTCTATACGCAAAACAAATGGTATCGAGTAAAAGTAAAAAATAAATATTTCATTCAATTAAACGTCAACATTACCAGTACATAAACACAAGTACTTTAAATTATATAACAACATATTATCCCATTCAAGTATATGTAATAACGTATAATGGCATATGACCATATAGAGACAAGATTCAGATACAATTATAGCACAAAAGTCGATTATCATTTTGAATTTCATAAGGTTTTATGCAAGTATGCAAATAATAATATGCAAAAAGAATTTTAAATATATATTAATTTAAAAAAATAACGAATTTTTTAAATTAGTAACTGACTACCATTTTACACTACCCTATATGATTGAATCTATATCCTGGTAAAATCTTCTAATAATTAACAAAAGCATTTAGTTGAACATTTCAATACAATATTTGATAATTATACAAAATATAGCTAGTAAAATCAAGTTACCAACTTGTCTATACAAACTGGACCTAGATTAGTATTTTTAAATTTCGTGAGAACCTAGAACGGATTAAGGTGAACATAAAAGTCTCATATTGTTTTGCGTATTTCGTAAATCTTAAAATATTAATGAATAATGATAATAAAAATATTAATGTAATAATAATGTAATAATAAAAATATTAATGATAATAATGATAATAAAAAAGATTAATAAATAATCACGCGCGATATGGTAGATGAGTTACAGTGGCGTCGTCTATCATTGTGTACTTATACATTAGAACAAAATGTACAAAAAAGTCCTCTGCCATTTTACAAATGACCACATAGATTTTTAGATATTAATTAAAGAAAATTTGTGCATTATTGCGTACAATCATGTGACAATTTTCTTTCATGAATAATTAAAAATCTATGTGGTTATTTGTAAAATAATAAAGGGTTCAATTTAATCTGTACAAGCATACAACAGCATACCTCTACTATATCATGTGTGATCATTCATATCAATTTTCTGTAATTAATATCTCGAGATTTATTACATATATCGCAAAACGATATGAGCTTTTTATATTCACCTCAATCTGTTCTACGCTTTTGCGAAATTTGAGAATAGTGATCTGAGATACTCTATATATAATCACAAAATAATTAGTAAAACAAATTTTTCATTTAGTTGAACTAATTAAAAAATTATTTGATAAATAATACCAAATAACCCCTTAGGAAAAATTACTTTAAGTTGTTTAAATTAACTTAAAGTTGCTTAAAGCTACTTAAAATTATTTATAGTTAACTATAAATAACTTTAAGTAACTTTAAGCAACTTTAAGTTAATTTGAACATCTTAAAGTAATTTTTCCTAAGAGACTTGGTAATAATTATTAAATAGTTTGAGTATTATCACATAATGTGTGTTTGAGTATAATGTTTCTGTTTCGTATATTTATCATATAATGTGATGAGTATTACTAAACAATATCCAATAAGCACATTGGGTAATAGTAATATTATATCAATGATATAATTTCTCACTCTACAATGTAATGTAATTATTATATATACATGTATATATACGCAAACAATATATACATGTTATATTACCCTTATAGAAATATCATACTAAGAATCATTGATAATTACTTATTTTTAGTATTAAAAATACTGGATAATAAGTAATTATCAATGATTCTTAGTATGATATTTCTATAAGGGAGAGGAAAATCTTTTAATAAATTATAATTTTATACTTTACGTTATTATATCATCAATGGCATAAAATACATCCCAGATAGCACAGAGAATTCAAAAAGAATTCAGTCATATATCTCCAATTCTGAGTTCATTTTTAGATGCAAAAAGAATTCTTTTGACTGAACTAAAATCTGAAGAATTTTTTTGCATTTGAAAATGAACTCAGAATTGGTGACATACGACTGAATTCTTTTTGAATTCTCTGTGCTATTTGGGTACACTCACATTGTTAAGTGGAAAATTATAATGATGTTAATGTGATATGACTATTACTTGATATGATGGTTACTGAGTATGCATTTATTTTGAAAATATTGTTTATATATAATTTATATAACACAAATTGGTAATTGGTAAGTCACCAAATATTAACAACAAATACCAAGTCTTGGCAACAAGTACCAAACCTGGCTAAAATTATTTGCCAGCGCTTTCTCGAATTCTTTCAATATATCAACCTATGTTCAATAGGGACTATTTCACTAAAGCATTTAGTAACTATTATCTAAGCTTGATGCTTATTACCAGGGTTGGGTAGTAACTAGTTAAAAAGTTAAAAGTTAAGTTAAAAAGTTAAATAGCTTTAACTTAGTTACATTTTTACACTTTTAACTTTTAACTTAGTTACATTTTATCGGTAACTATTAACTTTTAATTTAATTATTTTGAAGTTAACCATGCCATAAAGGTGGCGTGAGACGTCGAAAGACTGTTCAGTGCATGAGGGCTCATTTTCGACAATCTTCGAGGAAAAATGTTCGATAAAAATTTCGAAAAAACTTTATTACTTAAATTTAATAAGTATCTGTAAATAAAACATGTTTCCAAATAAGGTGTACATTTGTTTTTTCCGTTATTTGTTTTAAAACTGAAACCCTGAAGTCATGAAATAAAAGAAATTTAACTTTTAACTTTTTAATTGCTTTTTTTTATTAACTTAACTTTTAATTCAATTAATTTCATTATGGATTAACTTTATCTTAACTAAGTTAAATTTTCAAAGCCGTTAACTTTAACTTAACTTAGTTAAAAAAATGATTAACTTACCCAACCCTGCTTATTATCAAGCCCTCAGAGTATATTTCTCATTTTTGCTCAGGTATACTTACTTGAACGCTTTAGTGCGTCGTATGATCGCGTAGTATTCGGCCAGCTTCTGCAGCAACAGGCTGTATTGGATCGTGCTGATGGCCAAGGCGTTGTCGGCCAGGTCCGACACGTGGAATATCGACTGCTGCTGCTGCTGCTGTTGCTGTTGACGCAGCAGCTCCTGCTTCTCGCGATCAAGCATCTCATCGTGCAGTCTAATGTACTTCTCCTTGACGCGGGTCAACCGGTCGCTCTGCGTGCGCTTCGCGCTAAAGGAAGGCACGATTGGCTCGACGATTTCGTTACCCATGGACGAACGGACACACATGACGCTCCGCTGCCGATGTGTGCCACGACGTGTGCAGCTAATTCTTCCCAAAGACCTTCTCACCGCCGATTCGTTCTGCCGATCCTCCAACAGACCCGCGGGAACTACGCTTTCGAAAGGTCTTTGACTCGAATCGCTGTGACCTTCGCTCTTCTGCTGGGACCGCTCTGATCCAGTCGAGTAGCACCGTCTGGAGAACGTTCGGAGACGCTGAAGTCGCCCCTTTTATCAGGACGCGGTCAGCACTCTTCTTGATATCACCGATCTCGTATCGTTTCTCGAGCTCGCGAGGTGTTCGCTTCGTGAAGACCGACGTGGGTTTGACGAACCGCACGGACGATAACGCGATAACTAGTCGGCTGTCCTCGAGGGTGGTGGGACAAATCTCGAGCGATTGTCGCGTGGAAGGGAGAGAGCGAGTGTGTGGGTGCGGGTGTGTGAGAGCGCGAAGGAGAGAAATTCTACACCCTTTCCGTTCGATTGTCGCCGCAGAGTGCGCCGCGCCTCGACGCCGCTCCACTTTTATGTCGCTGCCCCTCGCCTCTCCGGGTGCCCTCCGCACGCTGCGGCCGCGACCGGTTGTTCGCCGTAGGCGTAAGGACATGCGATTTATGAAATTGTATTTCGTAACGCGATCCTTTTTATGAATCGAAATGAAAGAAATGAGAAAAAAAAAGATCGAAATGAAGAAAGAAATGCGATATATCGCACCACGGTTATGCATCGCAAATATGATCTTGAATCGCGTGCAATTTTTAATCACAAGGAAACCTGAGACACTATAGAAACCGTAATGTTTAAATAAATATTAAACATATTAAAGATAAATAAATAAACTCTGTCTTCGTACTCTATCAAAGTATTCTCTGAAATGTCCATATAAAAAAACACAAGTTTTACTGTGAAAGAATAGATAAAAATGAAAGCATAACAAAGTTAAATAATGTTTCTTTAAAAACATCACTTAACATCATAATACTTTTTATACGGGATAAAGTGGGAGATATTTAACAAAACTTGTTTATTTCCAAATCATTAATTTTCAAACGTTTTTAAAAATGACTTATTAAAATATACAATATATAAAGATTATTTTGCACGTTTAATTAATTATAATTATTATCTGATAATATTTTTCTTATAAAACAAAAAATTTCGATTTATTTTATTAGAAAGTTTCATGAAGTTGGTACTCATTCTCCTCTTTAAAGTGATTTTTTTATTGTTTAAAATGTCACAACTATTACTAAAACCGATTGAGAATCGACTGGAACTCCTCGGGAGGCAAATATATCGCAAGCACTACACAGAAAAAAAGATTTGGTTGAATTAACCAAATATCTGGTCGAATATGAACGATCTAGAAATTCCAATTGAAGTAACTCGAATTCTGTTTAAGTTAACAAGATGTTTGGTTGACTTAAACAGAATTCGGGTTACTTCAATCGGAATTTCTGGATCGTTCATCGGATCGATTAAATATTTGGTTAATTCAACCAAACTTTTTTTTCCGTGTACGATTTTCTTTTCTTGAATCGCAATGCGATATATAATTGGATCCTCTTATAGCAAAATCGTGATATTCAGCAATTCAAAATTATTCGTCATTTTAATTAAATATTTCCCAATGAAAAATTTTTCATATATAATTATATAAAATTATATAAAATTATATATAATTATACATAATTATATATTATTATGTATCAAATTTGTCCATTCATGTTCATACATTCTATTTATATAAGTAATTATACATAATTATGTATAATTATATATATAAATTCATATATAATTTTACATAATTACGCATAGATTTATATGTAATTATACATAGATTTATATGTAATTATACATATTGTTATACATAATTGTGTATAATTATATATAATTTTATATGATTATATATAATTATACATAATTATGTATGGGTAAATTTTATACATAATTTTGCATGAAAAATTTTTCATCGGGTTGTTCAAAGATCGCGCGGCAATCTATGATATTTTGAACTATCTAATTCAAATTTATACATTTAGATTACCTTACCTTATTACCTTTTTTTATTATTACCTTTTTTTATTAAAATATTAATGACAATCAATATTAAGTGTAATAATTTTTGGTAATCTTCTGGAACATATACAGGGTAAAAGAACAACCTTCGAAGCTTTCATGGAAACATGGTACTGATTAAGACAAACATAAAAGTTCTATACTATTTTGCGATATTCGTAATAATTATTGATATATTAATTAAAAAAGATTTATGAATGATCACACAAGATATGGTAGATAAACTGTTGTTGCAACATGTGCTTATATATTAGAGTTGCATTCTAAAACCTCCTTTTTGACGAAAATTATATTTACTACCATTAATTTTTACGTTACCCATACGTAGAGTAAAATTTCCTCAAAAGGGAGTTTGGAGTATAATCTAGGTCAAATTGAACAAAAAAGTCCTCTACCTTTTTCCTAATAACTTTGTAGATTTTTAGTTATTAATTAGATAATATTAATATATTATCTCGAGCGATCATCCACCAATCTTCTTTAATTAATAATTAAAAATCTACAAAGTTATTAGGAAAAAGGTAGAGGACTTTTTTGTTCAGTTTGATCTAATATACAAGCACACGATAGCAGATGTTGCTACTACAGTTTAAATACCATCTCCCGTGATAATTCACAAATCTTGTGTAGGTATAGCTTCCGGAAAAGGAAAGCCTCAAATCTAGTATTCACAAATCTTCTTTAATTAATATCTCGATAATTAAATGTGATTATATGTGATTGGGAATATCACACAACGGTATAGGATTTTTACGTTCACCTCAATCCGTACTACGCCTCTACCAGAGTTTCGAAGATTGTTCTGGGACACCCTGTATAAGAGAAAATATATATAAACATTATATATAAAAAGAAATAATGCAACTTAACATTTTAAGATTGTTATAATGGTATAATCGGATTATGGCTCTAAAACTATTACCCTCTAAATTTATAAATTTGGATTAGCTTAAAATATCATAAATTACCGCGCGATTTTTGAAGAGATATTTAACAAAAATGACAAATAACTTTGAATTGCTGGATATCGCGATTTTGCGATAAGGATCCAATTATCGCACTGTGATTCAAGAAAAGAAAATCCAATTTTATGAAACTCTACTAAAATAAATCGGAATTTTTTGTTTCCTCTGGTATCGATTCGAGTCATGAGAAAAAGCGATAGAACTTCTTGGGACGCTATCGGGGTCCGTATTCTTGAAATAGTTGCGTACACGTAAGTTTCATTGCTCAACTATTTTATGATATGATTATACCTGCGTAATAAAACTTACGTATACATAACTATTTAAAGAATATAAGTCCTGAACTCTAAATAAACTAAACGAGAGATTTGTGAGAAAAAATTAGTTTCAGTAAAATAATGTTTTTTTAATATGTCGGTTCAATGTAGACTTTCCATAAGTTCTAGCGACAACTATTAATATTTGTAGCGATACACTTAGAGAAAAAAGACTGATTTAGGTTGCATTCCAAAATGTTCTTTTTGAGGAAAATTGTATTCGATATCTATATGTAGTTCACGTTATATGTATTATAGAATATTGAGTAAAATTTCCTCAAAAAGGACGTTTTAGAATGCAATCCAAAAAAGACGTTTTATAATATAACTAAATTTATAATTATTTTTAGTCTCGACCATATATCTCTTGGTTATTATAACACGAAAATCGTAACATGCATATAAAATTATTATGACTAACATTATAGTAGAATTTAATAAAAATAATAGTTTTTCTCAAAATAATTTATAATAATTATTTTTCTACGTGATTATGATTAATATATATCAAACATATATATATATATATATATATATATATATATATATATATATATATATATATATATATATA